AAATTCCTCTCAGTTTAAGGAATTTCAACCTCAGTTATTGATGTGAACTGCTGCTGCTTGCGTTTCTGTCCATAGGAGCTGTAAAAAAGGCACATGATGATAATAATTACCATAATTTCCAAAATCAGCATCATGTTTTATTGATCAGAGTACAGAAAACTTTTAGTTTTTCTGAAAAATTTGTGTTTGCTGAGCTCACAGAGGAAAAAGCAAGAAGCTGCAAGTCTTCCATCCAGAGGAGTCGCCCTCTGCTGGTCTTTCTGTGGGGACTGGTTGTGTGACAATCACCACAGGAGGAAGGACAGGACACACACAGGAAGACCAACATTTAAATCATGGTGGTTAATTGATGGTGGTCATACACGAGAAGGACGCAGGGATAAAGTACATATGAGTGCAGTGAACTGAGAAACCAGTTAGAAATGATTTACTGTTGCCTTCCTGTTTTTTCATAGCAGTCTGCTCATTCTCATCAGACATCAACAAGACATTTTCACCCAGTGAACTGCTGCTCACTGGATGTTTCCTCTTCCTCAGACCAGAGATGGTTGTGTGGGATGAATCCAAGAAGATCAGTAGTTTCTGAAATACAGCACCAACAACCACGCCCCATTCAAAGTCACCTAAATCACTGTTTTTCCACTTTTTTCATCCCCAGTTTGAACTCCAGCAGCTCATCCTAATCATGTCCATGGAGTTGCCATGTGAGCCATGTGATTGGCTAATTACATAATCGTGTTAATGAAGAGTTGAACTGGTGTACCTATCAAAGCTGCCATCATGGACATGGATCATTATTTTGGCTAACCCGCTCTCTGAGTGCTTCCTCTCTACTCTGTTACACGTTTGTTCACACTGTCATCTTACAGAGCCTCAAATGCTCCAAACATGCACTTAGTAGGTTGTCGACTTCACTTATTCACACAATTGCTTTGAGCAAAAAAGCTTCTGGGTAACCCATCCCCAATAATTCGATTCAATACTTAAGAAACAGACTGACACAAAATTTACACAAACACCCACTTTAATCTAAGACTTTTTCAAGAAAACAACACTGTGTTTCTTTGATGAGGTCCCACAGAATTATTGTGTATACAGCCTGTTAATGACAACTGTAAGTGTAGCCATGGCCCTAATGCTCCTTTTTTAAAACATACCAAGCTATAAAACATCCTCAAATTCAGGCACCTCCACATCTGTAAGATGAAAAATGAAGAGTTAATAGCCTCTTTGAAGAATTTCCCATCATGCCCAGAATTAGCCAGTGTGGTTTTATCAGTTTTATCTTTTATCTGATTTGCGAACCCTCATCTGTGATTGGCCGTGCAACCCAAGAGCTAATCAAACGTCTGGGCTCTTTGCTGCACTCCATCCTGATTACAGAGGCCTCTGTGCTGGCTGAGATTCAATTTGTCCACCTTCTGTGCGTCATGGCGCCTCGGCCTAACCATCCCTTGTTGACGTATTACAGTACCTGTGCTTCCTGATACAAAATACAGCAAAAACCCACCAAATTAAGTCAAATCTCTTGTCATTCTCACACCCTGAAAAGCCACCAAGTGGGCTGGATTTGATTATTCGTCATGGTGGTTAGAACAAGGGCGGTGAGGACTCTTTGCCTCTTTTAAATCTGCAGGAGAGAGCAATCACAGAGGACAGATTACATTTTCATACCTGATACTGATCAGAAAAGGCTGAACTTAGCTGTGAAATTCAGCATAAATTTCCTCTGCTGGAAGAGGTTTTAGAAGCAGCCAGCAGACCAGCCTGCAGTGTGTAAAACTGAAATCAAACACTAAAATATGATCCTCCAAGATCCAGAGATTTGGATGAGGGAGAAAGAGGAGAATACACTTCAGATACTGCGCTGCCAGAAAGCTACATCAGCTTTTATTGACAGGGATCAAACAGACTTCCATATGAAGCTGAAGATACTCCGTACTGTAGTTTTTGCTTGGTTTTACACACTGAGGAGACCATTTGCAGTAGCACTAATGGAACTGCTTGCTGAGAAAGTGATAGTCCACTTGGTCCAAGGGAGGAAGAAACAAGTGAAAATAAACCAAAACTCAACGAGGAAATTTATGATTTAGAAGAAAATTGAGAAACGGAGTGATAAGACGTCAGAAGGGAAAAACAAGGTGGAATGATGTGTGCAGACATGAAACGGGATCAGATTTAGGGCATTTTCTCAATGAAGTGTGTATAATCATCAAGTATAATGAGAGTTTCAGACAGGAAATTAAAGATGCAGTGATAAGAAAACTTTAAAATCCAGCATTAGGAGAAGTTTTTTCAGCTTTACTCCAAAATCATATCCAGGAGGTTCAGCATATTTATCCATGTTCTGATGGTTCATGCATATTCAAATATGCATTTTATATCACTTGAACATAAAGATTAATCTTATGCAGCTGTTTGCAAAAGCTTAGATTTTAGATGTGAAAAGAAATAAATGTTAATGTGCTGCTGCTTAAATGTTCAAAAGGCTCAGCACCTGGCACAGATTTTACTAATCCTCCCAAACAAACAAAAAGCTTTTACTCATGATCAACTTTAAGGCATCGCTGCTTCTTTCAGTGGGGAGCACAAGTACAAGAATACTGCTGCAGTTATCTGCACATCAAAATATGAAACACCCAACATACCCACCGCGCTCACGGTGGGTATGTTGGGTGTTCATTGGTGTACTTATGGCCTGCTATCACATTATGTGGCCTGCTGCACATCTGCAGTTCTGTAGATGTAATTGCCAAATGTGGGCAATTAATTTTTGATTGAGTTTGAGTTTTGAAGGAAGTAATCCATAAGTGCTCAGATTAAAGTGTATGGACTCGTAATGACCGGACTCAAATTCAGGGAGACATCCAAGTATTTTTTTTTAAGCTTTAAGGTCTCTCTGTCTCTCCCACACAATTTAACACATAAAGGAGAAAAAAAAGGTGAAGGTACTGTTGGTCCTTGAATGTTAGATCAATGTTCTTGGATAAAATATGTGAACACAGCTGGTTAGAATGAAAGCACTCCTGTTCTGGAAATGACCATTTGCCCACAAATGGAATGTCTCCACTCCTGCAGGATACCTTTAACCAAATGTGCAGCTTGCAATGGCAACTGAAGTAAAGCATTTCACAATTACATTCAATTACACCAAGATATAACTAAAACTTATCTCCATATGTTGCCCATGATAAGTGCCCTGGGTCATCCAGGAGCCCTGGGGAACCCCTGGGAGAGGACCAGCCACCTGGAGGTTTGGTGAGTTATAGATCAGCATCTGCGTTGCCATAGCGGTCTTTAAAGCTGATGCTAATTTTGCAGAGGAGTAAATATGCTGTGCTGAATCACAGGCACAGAAACATCACCAGTGGGGCTGAAGTAATGCCCTTGTGATGAGACATTTTCAAAGAAGGGGAAACCAATAAAAGAAGGAAGTAAAAAACAAAATAAAACAGGAAGTAAGTGAACCTAAACATAAAAGTTTAAAACCATGACAGGACTCAGTACTAATCTGACCCGACTCTGAGCTTTAACATCTTATCTTATCCATCAGAAGGGATACTTGTAATTCTCAGAAGTGCTCATTCAACCTTGAAGAAAAAACAAATCAGAATTTCTTCCTCTAAAATTTATAAATGTTTGTTCCCATGCTTGTTTATTTGTTTTTAACGAATCTGTTTAATAATCCAGTTATTTTCAAGCTAAGAGAAGAAGAGGTGGCCCATTAGAAGTCACACATCCTCATGCGTGATTTGTCCCTGGAGATGACCAAGGACATGAGAGACCAGGCAGTTAATCACAGCCTTTATTTATGCACAATGACACCAATCTTATGGCGTGTTTAGAAAAAGGACAAAGACACAGAGAATCGTGTCAAAATCTCACGTTGCTGCAGCGACACTTCCAACTGCAATCTTTGCATTTAGATTTTCTGATGATGAAATCCTCTGCCACAGCTCTCCATGGCCTCTGCAGTCACACCCTCGTTTTTATTAACACATTGCTTTTCCCTCCTTCCTCTGTCTTTGCCCATCTCTCTCCTGCCACATCTCCCAAACTCCATCATTTCCCCTCTGCGCTCAATTTGCCTCCGTTTTTATTCCCTCTCCCTCATTATTCCTCTTCTCCCTAAAGGATGCAGAGAATTAGAGCACAACTTCCTCCCCCAGAAACACAGGCTTGGTAAAGCTTTGAGTTTCAGAGGGAGCTCAATCAGAACTCCCTCTACTTTCAGAGCACTTCAGCTCTGTGCGGCAGTAAATTGCCTTTCCTTGCTCTTTGTGCACTGCTGTGCAGAAAGAGCTTCATGGTGAAGTTAAGATGCCGGCACTGCGGTCGGCAAACTTCTCAGCGGGTTGCACTTTTGAAGGAGCCTTATTTTTTTTTATAATTGTAACCATAACATCACATCCCTACCCTTCCAGATTCCCAGTGCTGTTAAGATTTAATGAGATTTTGCATTTCAGATAAAAATCCATTCACAATAGTTTGGAGAATCCTCAAAGGCACACATCCTAAATAGAGTATTTCTTGGCTGGTATGGTGGCGTTTAAACATCAACAAACTTATTTCCTGCTTTTTAGTGAATTTAGCTGGAAAGTGAAGAGATGTGGATCAGAGCAGTGACTCACTCCCTCCACAGCCACCATCCTTCAGTGAGCGGCTTCCCTCCTCTCACTGTTTCCAGCTAGGAAAAAACTCAAATGAGACTCAGTTTGTTTGTTTTTTATTTAAAAATTATGAAATATACACATATGAAAATATGCATGACTATCTGCACTGCTAATATGATTTTACAGCACTGTTTTTGTTCCACAAAAAGCACTAAGTCAGGCATGAAAATTTCCCTTCCTTTCTTCTTCCTCCATTTTCATTTTTTCTTCTTTTTTAATAAAAGAGCAGCTGGACTGATCTTGTAGTCTGAGTGCTGCAGGGCACAGAAACATTCGAGGATTCAATTAGACATTTAATAACCTTTTCTTCTTCTGCTTCTTTTTTTAAATTTTTTTTATCTCCAGACGCCTGTTGATGCCAGAAGCTTTCTGTCGCCAGCACAGGCTTAAAAACATGTGGCTGTATTTGCCTGTGTGAGTAAAAGGTGTGTGATGATAAGCAAAAGGTGCTACACTGATTTCAGAGACAGATGAGGAAGCGAGAGCTCCTGGGACGCCTGGCGTACAGATCAGCTCATGGGTGCCTGTGTGTGAGAGAAAAATCGCTGCTGCCATCAGTTTCCCAGAACCTCATCTGCGCTTTATCATATCGGCTTCCTGGCAACATCCTGATGATGTCATCGGTGAGTCAGGCTGTGGTCCGCCTGACTCCTCCGTTTAGATTTGATCATCACCTCCTTCTGCTTGACTTTAACGTCAAAATCCGTTAAGCTGACGTTAACTTTAACCTCAGGTTTTGGAGCTATTTTTGGAGTTTGGAAGTTTTGTCTCCGATTTGATCTTTGCACTCAAAGGTTAATGCCAAAGCTAGAGAAGCGTCTAGTAGTTTGTAGGTTGCTGAGTCAAGGAAATCTCTAGTGGGTTCTGATCCCGAGGTGTCACATTAACACAGGGTTTTCAGCTTCCTGCATCTTACCACCAGACTGTGCACCAAAAAAATACTGGTAGATTCTTTTAGAGTTGGAGGGTTGTCAATCAGAAGACCACATTTCCTTTCAGCACTATTGCTTTTATTAAAATATTTCCTGTCACAGCATTAATGATGGTAAAACCTGATGCAAAATGCAACTCTGCCACATGTATGTTTATGACATACCTTGTCTTGGAGTTGGTGCCATGGTGCAAGGGATGCAGCTACTTTCTCCATCTGCTTTGATACAGCCTTATAGGTCTCATTTGGACCTCTTTGTTTTCCACTTTGTTCTCACTTGCTGTTTAGTTTTGCTCATGTACCAGAAGCTACCTAAACAGGTTTAGGAAAAGATTGTAGTTTAAGTTAAAATATTGCATACTGAAAAGGGAAAGGTTGGGTTTCGGTCTGTTGCTTCATAGCATAGATGCCAGAGCGGTTTTGAGGCACTGCTGGTTCTGAGAAAACAGCCGTATTTTACACCCTGAAGTTAAACTGTGCAGGTTATGCTTTCAAGCACAGTGCTTCCAGTCTGAGGTCATGCTATGCAGCAGCGGAGTCTGCATGCATCAGCGCTGTGTGTTTCTTTTCACTTTTCACTGGGCTCGATGCACTGCCGTCCTTAACTAATGAGTCCAGCTCTCGAGCTCATTTGAGGGTCAAATTTTGTGCTGAACATTTCTTGTTTGCAAGCTCTTAGTTATTCCCAGAGTGATGCAGTGAGGCATAAATATTCAGTCTATATCATACAGTGTGCAATAAAATGCAATGAACAAAACATCTTCTTTTACTCAAATATATGATTATAAAGACATTAAGTAGGAATGCATTCAAAATAATGCTACAGCCCACAGACAGAGGGAGGCAGGAAGATCTTCAACAGTACATTTTTTCCTCTTAGTAAAAAGAATTCTCTGGAAGAGAAATTGGAAAACTGCTCCGTGGTCAGAATGACTCAGCTGTCGCTCTCTGATTCATGTAGACCTGGATCAGACTGTAGGTGGGTGTAGCCTGTCCTGCATCCAGCAGAAGCTCCAGGTGCTTTTACTTCCCACGACGGATAAACAATTAACAGCTTTCTAAGAACAGCTGTGTGAAGGAGAACCATGAAAAATGTCACTTCTCCGGCTCCTGTCACCTGGAACGAATTACAATCCTGCAATTTCCAAACGGGCACGAAAGAGGACAATGAGGGCCTGTCTATACAAGCAGGGAAAAGTAAACCTGGACTCACTGCACGGAGCGTTCGTTTTTCCATTTTCACTGTAACTGGTTTCACTCTCTTTTTGGGAACTGACTGAAATATAAAAGCCGAAGTTTCATAACAAGTTAATGTTACTACTCGAGTCTCTATGATTAATGGAAAGAATACACTATCAAATAAATTAGAATGAATAAAAACATAAAAACACATTACAGCGCTCAGGTTTGACCCCAGCTAAATATGAGATAACCAGTTTAACTGCACTTTTCTTACTGTGGAGAAACTAGCTGTTGTTACTTTGAGCAGACTCCTGAGCTTAAACAGGATGTCATGGCTACACATGAGACAAGCAGGGTCTACTATTATCATCATCCTTATTATTAATGAGTGCTGAAGTCTTCCAAAGGATGCAACTGTGGAACGTAAAGAGGAAAGGGAAATAGTTTTCAAGGCTGAACACCTAAAGTACACACAGAAAAAAAAAAAAAGTAGGCCGAGCTCTCTCCCCCTTCCTGGTTGTAATTTGTTTCCAGGACATGGATGCTCTGCAGCACACACCACACTGTGAAGCCTTTTTAAGTATGCACACACTTCAGGCTGAAGGCTTGGCCGATCTGTTCTTATTGCAACAGCAAGTTAAATCTGCTCTGATGTAACAGGATTCAGGTGTTTATTGTTCAGCATTTCTTCACACTTACATACCAAGAAGACTTTAACAAACGCCAGAATTCTGTGTCTGTGAAGCTGGAGAGGTTGTGTAGGTTTTGGATTCTCTGTTCGCAAAGATCTGCGGAAACAGAGCCGAAGTCCAAAAAGCTGCGTCTCTTTCCCTTAAAAGGTCATTGGATTGTTATCAGAAAGGAGTACGCACCGACTGTCTGCAGAAAACACACATACACAGTTTTTACACTCCCACACCTGCGGGAGAAAACGACTCAGGTATATGACTGTCATCTCTGAGAACTTTTTTCTTTCTTTCTCTCAGAGTGAAGAGGTCCATAAATAAATAAATAAATAAATAATTAATAAAAAACATCCCAGAGAAAGAGAGAGAGCTGAGAGATTCTGGTCTGCTGATGCCAGATATCTGTTTATATTAATGAGTTTTAAACAAGCAGAATTCCAAATTTTTAACAGTAACTTCCTGTTATCATAACAGACGACTGCTGCATTAGTGTTATCATGGGTGTTGATTTCAGGATGATTTAGAGCACATGTACTTCTTTCACCTCACCCCCATCTGGTCCCGGCAGATGGCTGCCCCTCCTTGAGCCTGATTTCTTCCTGTTCAAAGCGAGTTTCTCCTTCCTACAGTCACCAAGTGCCAGTCATTGCTGGGGTTTTCTTTTTATCATTGCAGGGATTTTACTTCATCAAAAAGGTCTGACTTTGTACAGCCTCTGAATCTTTTTGGTTAGGTGTAATCATCTCTGCTACAATAAACTTGAAGACCCAGAGAAAAAGAAAGAGGGAGAGGTCTGGTATTATAACATATCTACATATATGCATGCAGATATGTGCAAAATGTAAATAAAACTGTTTCCACATCAGTGCTGCAAACGTCATAAATCGGTTTAAAAACTGAACTGTGTAAGTAAAGGAAAAAGAACAGTCTAAGAATATATTCAAGAAAGGAGCAAAATCTCACAAAAACATTAAAAAGCTAAACAAATTTAGCAGCATATATTTCTTAAACGTACCTCTAAATTTTTCCCACATACACACACTTCCCACATGCTCACTGAGCGTAACTCTCCTCTTGTTCCTAATCGTGCCCATCTCTGTGCTTAACAACTGAAATAAATGCTCTGTGAGAAACTGACATCGCACATCCTGTTTCAGCTGTTTGACCCACTGTTTACATTCTTGCTCTCAAGCTGCGCAGAAATCCATGTCAGCGCCAAACACGGAGAAAATACCGCAGAATGATCGGCTACTGCCCTCTGCTGGTGAGACACAATTACTACATTAGAATGGACTTTCATTGTTTTTTCCAACTGAATTGAACCACATGTTCTTGTCAATTTTTAAAGGTTAACTAAAGAGATAAATAACCTTTTACAGGAAGGAATCTGTAGATTTCACATCATGAGGTCCACTGTTCACAGACCAGTGAGGCGATGGGGATCATGTCCTCCATTTCATTGACATTAAAAGATATGATATGGAGACTTGGTAATGAAAAGTTGAACATATATATGTAGTTTATTAAATATTGAATAAACTGCTCACTTTAAAAGCTTAATGCAAGCAAGAAACTGCAAAACTAAATGTATGCAATCAAATATATCAGAGATATTATTAATGCAGAGAGACCAACTGTTTTGGAAAGAGGTCAAAGTGCTCAATGTTTTGGAGCCCATGTGAATTACAGCCTCAGTTTCATGTTCTTAGCTGATAGTAGTGGCACACGGTGTGGCGTTCTGCTGTTGCATCCTATCTGCTTCAAAGTTTGATGTGTTGTGGGTTCAGAGATGCTCTTCTGCACACTTCAGATGTCACGAGTAGTTATTTGAGTTTCAGGCCCGTCTTCTCTGGCATTAACACAGACGGCTGTGTGGGAAAATCCCAGCAGACCAGCAGTTTCTAATTTTCTTCCCCAGTTTGGGCTTTGAACTCACTGAAAGACTTGGATTTAACAGCGTACCTTTGGGAACAGGCTCCTGTGACCCAGAGATTTTTTTTTTAGCTTCCTTACGAAAAAACGCATTTCTGTTTAACATCATTAACAAGAAAGGACCACACACCACTCGTGTTTTGATTCAGCTGCACTGGCTAAATGTTTAGTTTGTTTTTACAGCCTTTCATGGATCAGCTGCGTATTATATTACAGATCTATCACCTCCACATTCAGCCTCGAGGTCGCTGATGTCATCCTCCCAACTATTTTTTTTTTTTTAATATTCGTATATCTTGCTTTGCATGTGTGTATCTTTAGGTTAACTCCTGCTTTAAAATGCTTGTTATAAAAAAAAAAAAGTGACTTGAGGTTTAAGAAGCATCAAGATTTTTTGTAATCAGACGTGATTGATTTTTCTAAATTCTCATGTACATCCTTAGAAACCATAAAAATCACATAACAGCATCTACAAAACCATTAAAATATAGCTTTATTGAAACATGATGTTAAAGCGATCACATTTAAGTTTGCGTGACATACAGTACATACAAACATCAGGCACAGATTTGGTAATCATCTTTGACTCGTGCAGGCAGCGAAAAGTGTCTGGAACTCACATTAACCAAAGTTTAAAGAAACCACACACACACAAAAAAAAAAAAAATCTTTCTGTGGGTTAAAAACAACACAGATACTCCACATAAACTTTGATTAAATAGAAAAAACACACAATGAAGAACAGCCACAGGCCTCGTTACATTCAGCTGAATTTCCTTCATGATCCCCAGCTTGGACACATTCGGGACATTCAGGCCAGAAAAACACTGACTGTTCAAACTTGGATAAATTGTGCACCTTTTCCAATCAACAAATTCAACACCCACACACCTGTAGACAATCATCAGGCTGAAGCAACAATTAGAAGGCGATGTAAACAGTTCAGGCAGCCGCGAAACTACACAGTGAGGAGTGCAACGATTAACGGCATGTATGTCAGCAGTGACAGCGCTATGCACACAACAAGTGAAATATTAAATAATCCAGAAGCATGAAATACACGTCTTTCAGGTTCTTATCTTCTCTTTTTAGTGTTGGTCTTATCCTGCATGAATATACTGAAGTTCAAAAAGAAAAGAGAAAAAACAAGAGACCTGGTGCGATTGTCTGTAGGATGATTTACAAATGTCACATAACGGATACACGAAGGATGTAGAGACTAACACAGAGATAATTACGGTAATAAGCCGATGCTTTAAATAAATCAGGTGGTTGGCAGTTTGGGAGTCGTGGGATCGCCACTGTTTACAAAGCTCTAGCAAAAAATGTTTTGTTGCCGCCACCCTGACCAGCAGGGGGAGCTCTAACAGAGACGAAGTAACACCATTACCCTTCATGCTGTGTGCGAGTCAAGCATCTCACCGTGTCGTGCATACAATACTGCTCAGAAGGAATTTTATGAAATACGAGGGAAAGGTAAATATGTGCAGGATGTCTCTTGTCAGGTGAATGAAGCTAAACAACAATGAGCTAAGGATCAACTTTTAAATAAAACACAAGTTCACACACACTTTAAAGCTTTCACCAACACACAGAACCCTTAAGAGTCTCTTGCAAAACCCACGGACACTTTAATCAAGTAACAATTTGTGTATGTACGTGTTCAGCCTGTTTTAAAGAATCTAGACTCACTCAGGTCACAGTAAAGCAGCATTTATCCTCATTCAACGCTTTCCACGGGCACATAGCCAATACGTCACACCGAAAGCTTGAAATGACACACCTGTGAAAATGTACTTTGGGCTTTTGTTAAACCTTTTTGAACCTGAAGCTGATTTAGACCAGCATTTGGATTTCTCTGAGCCCCGACCGGCCGAGCTGCGGAGAGCGAGGCTAGACATCCCTGTCTCATTTTAATTGCTCCAACGTTGATCAGCCACACCAATTAAGGGAACTGCTTTTACGAAACCACAAAGGTGGCTTCGGTAAAGAGACCTGGCCTTTAAAAAAAACATTTCAGCAGGTGGGTTTAATGTTGTGGCTGACTGAGAGCAGAGTCTCACCAGTGGAAACTGAGGAAATGATGTGAACAAAAACTCTGAGCTTTAGAGTCGTGAGTAAATACTTCTGGGAGTGTGGTTGGAAATAGCAGCACAATCTAAGCCTCCAGCTATGACTACGAGGAAGTGTTCACCGGGAAAGCAGGAACCACTGTTTTTCAGTGTTCAGAAAGCAATCAATTGCTTTTACTCACTTCAGTAACCTGACCAGCATGTTATAGCTTTACCAAAACGACCCTTGGGTGCCAGGCAGACACTTTCCAGCTCTCATTTATTTAATACAGCATTGAGACACTTTGTGGTGGAGGTGACAGTGTTAAAGCACATAAAGGCCATATAAATAGCTGTGATATAAATATATGAACTCAAAGATATTCACTTTGGGTGAAGGTCCTTTGAAAGTTAAGCAGAGTTAACTCCTCTGTGGAATAGAGCCATAATACAAAATGTGAAAAATCTGCGCTGCCACGCCGCCCTCATTTTTTCAGGCCACAACGCTCAACCAGGCAGAGGATCCGTGTGGACATCGTAGTAATATCTTAACTTAAAGCTGCCAACTTTTAAAGTTCAAGTTAAAATATTTGGCCCTTTGGCCTTCCTTGTGATCTATCCTGACATGTTTTCAGACTGACTGCAGTCACTGGCAGGTCAGGTTGGGTCTACTGAGCCAGGCCCAGATCTGGATCATCTCCTGTGGGGTCCTTGGGTGAACCAGCATTAAGCTCTTGTAAGCGCAGGGGTTCGACCTGTATTTCTCCTCTATGTTAAAAGTCCTGAAGCCTTTGTGCTTTTCGGGGGCCAGCCCCAACTTACGAAGACACATACCCGTGTAGACGTCATCTATTGGGTACAGCGCTACGCGCTGAGATGCGTTATGCAGGCGAAAGGCGATGTCACCTGAATAAAGGTAGCCGCCTCCTCCTGCGTACGGTGGGTAGATTCCAACATACATGCTCTCTGGTATGAAGTATTTGACCCTCTTGTCTCGGTGGGGCCCCGCATTCGTGATCACATCACCCACAAACAGGTCCTTGGCTTTGGGTCCCGAGAGCCCCTTGAGAAAGTCCATGATGCGGTAGGTGTTAACGAAGACGTCGTCGTCGCCTTTGAAGATGAATTGGGCGCCGGAGCAACGTGCCTGGATCCACTCCAGGAAAAGAACTTCTTTGACAGTCAAATTGAAAAACGAATCACGGAAATCCCACTGGATGATGTCTTTATGGCGGGCGTTCTCAAAATGCAGCATACCAGACAGATCTGGGTGGTGGTCTCCAGGTGTTGCGTTACCAAGGAGGAAAATGGTAACCACTGTCCGATTGGCTAATACGCCTGCTTTTCCCCAGGACTGGCGGATGGCCTGGCGGCGATCAAAGTGAGGCACCAGCGATTTGACAGCCAGCAGCAGAAACGGTGGCTCCTTGCAGATATCCATCTGGTCCATAATGATCGGGTAGGAGCGGCAGCGCATGTAAAGCAGGAAGTCCTTGAAGCGGGGCAGCAGGGAGTTGTAATCTTTTACCTGAGTGGTCACCCTGAGGTTAGGCTGACAGACGTTGGATGTCAAACTGGTGTCATTGAGCCACTCAGGGATGTCGCTGCTGCGGTTCGTCATGATGATGTGATTGCTGTGAATGTCCAGAATCTGCTGCTGGCGGTTCCAGTAGGCCGAGCTGGGAGCCACTTTAGCCCAGAAGCGTTTGGAAGGGATAAGAATCTTTTGATGTCCACTTTTGTCTTGGTTGATGTTCCGCGAGATGAGGATGAAGATAAAGAGGTTGACCATAGTCAGTGACACCACAACCTTAAGCCTCATCTTTGGCAGCAGCCCCATGACAGATTACCGCACACGCCGACACCTGTGCAGACACACAGAAGAAGAAACAAAGACTTTAGTCTTCACTACAAACTGATCTTTAGTTTTCATCTTTTACCTTATTCTCAAATCACTCAGGTAATTTCAGGTAGGAGGAAGCACGAGGGAGAACAGTTATCTATGGTGAAATGAGCAGGTTTACAACTTCCCTCTGTTGAGAAACAATGGGTGGAAAAAGGAAGAGAAGACACCTCAACCACACTGACAAAACGATCACATGGAAACCCCCGTTTGTGTTGTAAGACGTTGTGTAAAACTATGTCAGAATAGTTTGTTTATCCAAAGCAACAGCAAGATTACGTATTGATCTGATCAAGAAGGTCAGAGGTCAAACTGCTGATAAGACTGAAGCAGAGTGGTGTCATCTTCACACTGAATCACTTGACTTTTCACAGGTTGACTGATATGGTGTATAATAATGCTTTGTTTGTTTGGCTGTCATAGTTACTTCTGAGTGAACATGCTGGTTCACTCAGAAGTGATGGCTGTGCTTTCCAGTGAGGGTTAAACTGATTTCTTACAAAACACTTAAAAACTTCCTGTAAAACTTATGAGGTGGCATGTCTCCATCATCACCATAATCAAATCACAGGTAGGGTAAGTTTTTTCTTGGAATAATTAAAAACAAAAAAATACTCCTACGGCAGACACAAAGATAATTTAACTTTGAGCTACCTAACTAGATCTGCAATCATCAGGCCTTGTTATTTTGTTCACTTTATTTATGTGTGTTCATGCAGCATGCGTTCACAACTGTGAGCCTGAACTGATCTAATTACCAAGCTGCGTGTCCAGACCAGTCCAAACTAAATATGAGAAACCAATTAGCAAATGATCTGCTTGGTGTAAGGAGAGTTCATTAACTGTCGGGATGAAGCACGATAAGGTAGTCTGCCTGAAATCACAGCATACACCTGCATTTCCACTGACAACATGTTTACTCGTTTACTACGCCAGAGGGCAATTTAACGGAAGGCAAACATTTGAGGATTCATTGTCCTCCTCTCTGCTTTTGTATCCTTTGCTTAAACCAATAAGAAATGAGGACGACATGTGAGCTTGAACAGACAATACCGTCCTTTCAGGAGGCTCAGCTGTGCCTCAGGTTTCTGTTTAGTCACGCTTTCCCCTCTGAAAATGTCCTTACCTGGAGTTCCCCTCACTTTCTCCTTTTTCCTGCAGACCAGTGAAGCAGCCACTTTAACGCAATATTTTCATCAAGTTATTGATAAACTACATGTTTTGGTACTGCTTAACCATACTTGTGACAAAGTCTAACCGAGTAAATGTTTTCACTGTGAGGCTGCACACTTCTGGGCAAATTTCCAATCTTAACAACACTCTGAAGTCATAAAGACCAAAAGTAAAATAAAAAGACGACTGGATAATGATATAAGATTGCAAGCTCTGAAAGCCAAAAAGGGTCTACTCATCTGGGAGACATTAGGGCTCATTTAGGAAAAGTGCTTCTTGACCATCTCAGTCAGAAAAGCCGCTCCCCAGCATTGTTTTCAATCGAATAATTTCAGTGATTTCAATGAGATAAAGACTTTCGCTGCTGTTATTTATTGTTAAAAATCAAGCGCAGCCTCTTCTTTTCTGCTTTTTGGCACGACCGAGGTGCCTGTTTGCTTTCACTTTCCTCTCATCTGCGTCTGCAGACATCTCATCGCAGAGCTTTTGGGACAGACAAGACACTTTGAGTTATATTTTAGGTTTAAGGAAATCGCGTTGTAGCATTAAAGATTACAAGACACAGGATTTGTTTGCTGTTAACCAGGCACAGGTAGGTTATGAGCCACTAGTTTGTGTTGCTGGGGATTTTCATTGTATCTGAAAACTGTTTAGTCTTTTTTTTTTAGAAACATTTGGGTGTAAGAGTACTACTCATTAGTGTGTTTAGAGATGGTGTAGGTGTTTTTAATTCTAAACAACTTACAAGAATTTAATTTTGCCTTCACCTGTTTCCACCAGGTTTTGGCCCCAGAGAGCCGAGTCAGGACATTAAGACTTATTTATCTTCATTACAATTATCAATGTAAACAGCTCAAAAAGCGGTGCGAGCTCTGCCTGATGAGCTAACAGATCTGAACTGCTCCCTGGATCCTTCCTGCCTCTGTATTGTGTTGCTCTCTCAGCCTCCTAGCAACAACTCTCCACTGCTGCACTCCTGTTTGCTCTTCTTTTTCTATTCCGTGAGCCTCGTTCACTCCTCCTCACTCTGCCCGTCTCCATCAGGTTTCCTCTGTTCCTTTGAATTTGTTCTGACTCAACGCAGGATAGGAATACATCACACTTATCAGTATTATATCACCAAACAGACAAGCATGGACTTATGCTAGTTTTCCTTCAATCTCCTCTTCCCCCTTACTCTCATGGATAATTAAGCTTTCCCTTCCTCTGCATCCCATACAAACAAGATCACTTCTGGGAAACAAGTGGGTGGGTCGGTGGGGGAGGCTTCTTAAGAAGAAAGCTAAACAACATGTAGATGAAACCACAACTTCTGGACCTGTAATTAACCACCAGTAGTCTGCAGCAAAATCCACGCATACCTGCCTAAGTCTGGCTGACCATCTGCATTTGGTTTAAGACATTAAACTCAGTCATAGTGTTTCACATCGAGGCCATTTTAGCTGAAGCAATTAAGGCATGTTGGTGGTTTGACACACAAATATCATGCTTCTAGCTGTCAGCATTAAAAAGACAAGGTCTGCACTTGTGGTTGACACTCACACAAAAACAGATTAGGCACAGTAATGTCATGGACCAAACTTTAAGCTATAGTTTCAGTTCTTTTGCATTCAGTCAGTGTTGTTAGAGCTGACTCCAGCTTAAAGACAGTTAAAATCAGTTCACACATGAGTTTCTTAATCTTGAAATATACATTAAATGAAAAACAAAACTTAAGGATGTGGAGGCACTGGAGGATGTGGAGATGTCTGGTCACGGTTAGTTCCTGACTTGAGCGCATTTGACAATAAAGCCTGCCTTGAAAGGACAGCTGGCAAGTGACAGCCCTCCTGCTTCTGCTGGGACTACTGTGTGTTTTTCTATGTTAGGTTGCAGTTTCCTGGTAGGTAGAGTTAATCAGTGCAACTGGGAGCACCTGGCCAGTTTCTCTCATTTTACACAACACATTCGAACACTCATCCAACCAGTAACACTACTGACTAACAAACCTCATAATGTAACTTGAGGTTTTTGGATTCTTTGGGTTAATAATTCATATATTCTGGTTTAACACAGAATCTCTCTCATAATTTGTTTTGGCTCATAATGTCTTCATTATATTATGATATGTCTTTCCATGCCTGCGAGCCCACTGAGGTCCGCTTCGGCCTGAGTGACTTAAATCCCATCAGACAGTGGGTGCAATGGTCCACGCCTGCCTGTTCTTTTGGGACAGTGTGGACTCTTCCTACCGATCTACATTACAATCAACTATCTATGACAGCAGACTTCAAAGTATAACAGGAATGACTATTCGACCGTCGGTCCTCCAGATGTCTGTGTCCATGTCTGCAACACAGTATAAGCAAGGCATAAGCTGGACTATGACACGGGCACGCTCACCACAGGAAGTGTGAGAGACCTCGAGTGATCAGAGGCAAAAATCAGCTGCAGACAGCTGTTGCACAATTCTTCTACCATTTCTTCCATGGAAAACTTATGAATTTTACTTCCTCTGGAGCTCAGTGACCAAAGGCTTACTTATAGGTACACTAAAGGACAAGTAAATTCGAAGATTAAGGGGCGGGGGAAAAAGTGCAGTGCTGCAATGGCAAGAGGTGAATTTAATTCATTACACAAAAAGACATCAGAGCTTCAAAGCAATAGAAAAAAAGTCACTGTTATCATGTTTCATAATAACTGGAAGCAACTGAATTCAATTGTCTGGCCCCGCCGAGTATGCTGGAAAGCTGTCTGCAAGTGAACACAACTGACTGATGGCCTTCTTGATTTGATTAATCTAACTAGATCTAGTTTCCTCATAAAACCTAATCAATGTATTATTTTTAAATGGACCCTCATTTTAAGGATATGCAAAAACACATTTAGATCCAGAACATAAGCAGTGCCCCAAGAAAAGACAGCATGAGTCACATCCTGTCATCACAGGAAGCAGTGCACACCTATACTTGTTATGGTGCAAAGTACTCCTAAAAATTACCGTATTGTATTTTTTCTTAAACCGACTGTATGCAGAAGCCATACAGAATGAGGAAAAAAAAAGTCTAATTATTAATAAACTAATAATAAGAAATAGTCTCACTGTGGTAAAAGACAGCAATGGAGCATGATAACGGTTCAGGCAGAGATGAAGAAACGCAATGTCAAAAAGCAGTCTGCAAACATCTGCAGTGGCGCTTTTATTGCTCACAATAAACCTTTATGGCTCTTCTTTTGCAGAATTCGTCTGACTTGGCTTTAAAGATAAAAGATAATTATACTTTATTTAGATAACGGACTCCAAGACAGTTAGGCTTCTTTTGTACAGATACACTTGACTACTTTGATTCAAGTCAACCATCAAAAGATGCCTATTAAAAACCTTTGTGGTATGATTAGGAGTTAAAGGACTATACATTATACACTGAAACAATAGCATGTAATCTATTTTTGATTTTTTTTATTCCATATAGATACAATTTGCCACCATCGGGACAAGACCTCTCTGTGTGTACTTTACATGTTCTTCCTGTATCTGCGTAGGTTGTCTATGGGCACTTTGGTGTAGTTTGTAACATAATTATCTGATCCGCTTTTAAACCTCTCTCCATTATTCATTAACTTTATGTTTATCTATCATGAAGCTTGTGGCGACACCATATGGTGTCGGGTAACAAACAGGTCTGTGGGATTGTGATGAGGTCAGTAATTTACCAGACAACACTAGACTGTGTTTGACCAGTGTGGCTTCCACCTGATAAAAAGGTTCACTGAGGTAAGCCATCCCACCTGAGTGGGGGATGGGTGTGAGACACTACAGAACAATGGCAGCTTGAAGGGCTGGGTTTGTATGCTTCTTAGTGGACCTTAATAGCTTTCATGATTATGTTTAGATGGCTTTAAATACTATGCTGTGGAGAGAACCGATGAACAATGCACCTTCCTAAAACTTTAAACTTCATGTGTAAACATAACAGAATATAGCTATACAGATCTTAATGTGACAGACATGCCAAGAGATGCACTGCCTATTCAAAACATTTCCAACGACGCACATTGTGTGATCTTACCTGTGCAGGTGAGTGGGCCTCTTCAGCTCTTGTTCTCCTGGTGTCTCCTCAGCACTTTTACCCCATACTTTTGTGCACTGTCTGGGGACAACAGCCAATGGGGAAAAGGGATCGGGAAGGGGAGGAGGCAGAGAAAAGACTGAATCTGCAAATGAGAGAGAAAGAACCCAGGTGTCAATACTGAGGAAGAGAGCATGAGGACAAAAAAGACATCAGTTCTAATTTTACATACTGAAAGCGTGCTTCTTAAAGAAAGAACCAATAACCCTGATTTAAATACAAAATGATAACTATATCATTTAACTAGACTGTGAGCAGTCATGATTGGGTGGGAGGGTATATACAGCTTTTAATAATAAAATACAGTTTTATGTGTGATATTTGGAACAGATGTAGATTTGCTGTTAATGAAATTAAAACCCTGGTGTCAAAATTCACAGTAAAACAGAACTTGGTTTCATTTAATTTCATTTCAGGGAGGTTCAATCATTACTATGATTTATTTTTGTATCTTTTCACGGTTTTCATTTTTTTTATTTTTAAGTTAATAATTTCCCTGACAGGTACCACAGGACAAAATGTGTCGACTAAATCTATGTGAAAGCAACAGAGCTGGTTTCCAGAGGGAGTGCTTTCTTAGTACAACAATAAGTAATTCCCCGTGTACAGTATTCTTACTCGAAATGCAGATCCTAACTTCATGCTGCATATAAACATGGCACTCTGATTGCCCAGTGGTACAAAAAGTGGTTCACTTCTTAACACGGTATAGTGCTATGGCAGGTTATGCTGCAAACCTATTTAGAAGAAGTGTGCTGCCACTCATGATCAACATAGCCAGGGTTTCTTTGTGTTAGCTGACTTGACAAAAACCAAAAATACTGGTCACTTCCTGTGCTACCTCTCAGGCTCCTAGCAGACACACTTATATTATCGATTTCAACTTCCTATGTCATCCTTTTCTCAAGTTTTTGCATTCACAAGAGTTTCAGAAAACCAAGATCACTGAGATTCAAACTCATTTGATATTTTTAAGGAGCACACCTATGGTATCAATTTGAAGTTCCTATGTTGCCTTGTTCTCGAGTTATTGCATTCACAAACTTGGGCGCCAGAGAGATTTGGTATCATGACAATGGTTTTAAAAATTTACCAACTGAGCGTCAATCAGACATTATCAAAAGGAACAGATGATAGATACAGACAGGACAAAGTCTTGTGAAGTCTTGTGATTTGACGTCCATAAATGCTGAGTGATTCAAAAATCAAGCAGAGGAATTTTCTAATCTGTGTTCTATTAGCTGCGGTTCCAGAAGTGTCAGAGAAACAGATCAAGCAGAAAACATTAAGACATTTTCTGCATCACCAACTGAACCGATCTCCCGTGACAATGTGACACACAGTCTGCATCCCTGTAACTTTATGACTGAACTACATTCACTGGTGTTTGTAACACATGACTGAACAGACTGCATGTGGAACTTTTTCGTATAGCAGCAGATAATGTCTATTACACTTAGAGCAGACCGTAAATTAAAAACAAAAACAAAAAACAAATCAGTGAGTATGTGATGTCTCTAGCTAATGTTTAAACTTTGAACATAACCTGATCCTGACCAGGTTATGTGTTCAGAACAAGTTGCCATAACGATCTAGCGAGGTAAAAAAGAACAGTGAGTTTAAGCTTGCTAACCCATTTAACTTTGTAGCACACCTCTCTGCTCCGGTGTAGGTTATGTTCCAGATAAGAGACCAGTGAGGCGCTAAATGTATTTATTTATTTATTTTCTTAGACAGAAATGTTTGCATTTTTCTCTGAGCACCAATCAAGAAATGGTTTTAGAAGCAACTTTATATTTTATTCCCCTCTATGTTGCAGGAAATTTTATGATAATCTGACTTTCCTATATATTCAGTAAAGTGATAAATTAAATGTATACAGTCTGAGCCTGAGTTTATCTGATATACAGTTTGCCTAGAGGCTAATCACACTTACACATTTGTCTAATATTTTTTAAATTTGCTGCAGCTAAAAGAAAAAGGATAACATCTCACTAAGCAAAACAAACAACATCGTTTATTAACTTAAAAGAATATCCAATTATTTTGTCCAGCTGACATGTCAGATCCTTTCATGCGCTGATGACATACTGACATGTTTGTTAAGTTAGTAATTTTTACAATACTTTTTTGCACACTTTCAGCACCATATACACACACACACTGTACTTCTATAATCGCATACAGACACACACCATGACCCCCCTACCTCAATTGTCAATCCTTAATGTTTAAATTCCATAAAAATTTAGTTACTGCCACAATACTCTGGAGGCTGGTCACTCAAGTGCAGGTAAACATCTGACTGACAGCAAAGCCATGAAACAGACTTCACATTCATGAAAAACAGTGCAGACTATTATCACCATCTCACTGAAAGACAGGAGGGGTTGCTGTATTTAATAGAGCTCTTCTCTCCACAGAAACTAGACTTTGTGCTGTTCAGGACTAATACTTATTTTCAGTTTTAGAGATTTGTTTTCTTACTAATATTTGAGCTTACCCAAGGTACTTTTCCTTCTTAAGAGTCCTTAAATCTGAGCTTTTCCTCCTTACACAGACGTGCCGTTGCGTGGATGTCTGCATAAAATCATCTCTCAAAGCATTTTGACTTTAAATTGTGTATGGGAGCAACTAGCAGGCTCTTAAATAAACTTGTACAGTTTGTTTTTGTTAGATAAATCTCTCACAAACAGAAAGAAAGATATAAATATAAAGAGAAAAGTGAAACACAAACACACACACGCAATAATAATCTAATGCTTTTGCCAAAGACTGATGTAGAAAGCTTGTTTTATACAAACATGACTGGGTTTTGTTAATCATTAAACTGCCTGTGTGTGCTGGTTAGATATGAGAGGACAGCAGATAGCAAGCATAGGCAACCTCTTAACGAAACAAACTGAAAAAGCCACCGGAGGATGGCCAAACAATTAAAATGGAGTTAATCATCGAAAGAAACGCCTGGCTTTGTTCCATTTCCGTTGCTTCTCATGCTTTCCATTGTGTTTGTTTGACCATGCTGAGAAACTTTCCTCTTTTCTTTCCTGTATATGCTCCTGTACATAAGTTATTTAAGACTAAATAACAACAGTTTGTTGGGCAAAAAACAAAAAAACCTCCCAAAACAAAACTACAATGCAAGTGAACAATGCAAAAGAAAACTGTGCAGTTTTCCTATTTAAAACATTATATAGACCACGATGTTAATGCTAAAAATTAATTACAGAAACCTCTAGTGAAAAACAAACAAACACATTTTTGGGTTTAGATTGTGAGTCTTGGAGGGCATCTAAAATGGACATAAAACATATTTTTGCAGCTCTGGAAATTTCACGAGTCTCTAAAATGCTGAAAAAGGCAACACAAATTTCAAAAGTGAAAAATCAACACACCTCTTTTTACTTTAAGGACCTGTCTGACCCCGCTGAAGCTGACATCTCCAATCACTTCTGTCTCATTTTACTGCCGCTAGGCTTTTCGTACTAACTGCAGATGAAAACACTAATTACATTTTTAACAGTGAGGTTAAAGCACCGTTAACTGCCATTACTATTCAGATGAATGCACAACTAATGAAGCTCCACTGATCAGCCACGCCCTTCTCAACGTAAAACTTCATCATTTTTAGGAACTCAAAAACAGAAAATGTATCTAGGACATCCTCTTCACTAGCTGGTTGATATTTGTGGGCTTGTTTTGCAGCAGGTCTGGTTAGCACACATGTCCTACACACTCACGGTTGCAGAACACATGTCCTACACACTCACGGTTGCAATCCTCCCAAAGTTGTGTGAAACAGGTCAGCAGGGCAGAGAAGCCTAAAAGGCTCAGGCTGCTAACTGCTGTGTGCGAGTGATAACAGATAAGTCTCCTCCACAGGCCACGTCAGGTCTGTGGACAAAGTTCAACCTTCAATTGATAAAGGCTAAAAAAAAATTAAAGATAAAGAGTCTAACCATTTAGAGGAGCATGCACCTGACTTAAGGGACGAATATTTATTGCAACTTCCCTTTAATTTTTCTGACCAGTGTTTATGCTGAAGGTAAAACGTCTCGTCTCTGGCACCACTTACGATATTTTGGTTTCACATTTAACGATTTCCTCTGTGGGTGTTACCAGTGGCAATGCATCGCAGTGAAAACTGGCCATCAAGATCTGGCAAAGCAATGGGCAGGTCCCAGTTTTAAGTTTTTCCTTCTAGAGCGAGTGGAGTTTTCAGCATCCTCTGGATCAAAAACAGTTTTTCCACCACATAAAGAAACTGAGCAGAAAACCTGTTAATGATTTGAGGTGACAGAGCCACTGTTCTTGATGTACCTCTCTGTGGTCTGCTTAATAAATTCAGCAACAATAAAAGTCAAGGAAAGGAACGCAACAGCCACCCATACCAAGCTAAAAATGGATCTGACTGGAACACTGTCACAGATTTTTGTTTAAACAAATGTCCCATGAAGCTATACAAAATGAATCTTGGGTTATATAAATAAAGCATGATAATTACTGATGATACTCAACAAGAGGATTACTGCCTGTCCCCAGTCAGGATCATCTCAAGTACATTTTGACAGTATGCATCTAGAAGTTCATCATTTCCTTTTATCTCTCTGACATTGTATATGCCTAATGCATTATAAAAGCACTTTGAATTACCTTTGTATATGAATCATCATTATCCATGGATTGTAAATTGTTGAGCAGACTCTCTTCACCTTTGTAGGTTGAAACTACCAAAGATAATTTTTTGGGGAGTAATACTTCATACAAGACTAAGATATTACTGTACGAAATATGTGGGCCTAATGGGGACATGGTGCAAAGAGAGGAGGGCCATAAATAGCCTGAAGGCTGCAACTTAAAGAGGGACTGTCTGAGCTGGAATATATCCACCAAATGTCATGCCTCCTTCTCAGAATTTTCCATTGATGTGAGACAGTCTCCTAATTTTATTTGTTGGTTCTGATCGCTGTGTTGGTTTTATTAAAATGCAACACATGCATAACTAACCTTAGAGGACATTCTGTGAAAAATCTCCCAGTCATCCTGATCAGAATTACTATAAAACCACAATAACAACCTAAATATTTCAACCTAGAGGTCCCAAAAAATTGATTCTGTTAATCATCCAAGTTAATTGGATGAGTGACAAAACGTTTCTCCCACTGAAAACGCTACGTCCAGACAAACAGAATCAACCTTTAGGGTTTTACTTACCTCGATGATTGAGCATGCACCGAGACAAGCAAGAGGTCCTTGAAGTACACAGGGTGGGATTAAGTTCCTGGTTTTGTACATGAGACCCAACAACAACAACAATCCTAAAATAACAAAAGTCCAAAAACTGAACTAATATCAGGAACACTAATTTCCTTATCCAAATATGGCTATGGGGTGGGTTCTACAGGGCGAAGAACAGCTCTCAAGCTCTGCACATTTATTCTCAAAACAACCTGAGGAAATGTTCTTTTTTTCTCCTAGTAATGCTAAAGTGACCATTTCTAAGCTACAGTATAGAGATCGGGAAATGAGACATTCACTGCCTCACAATAGCACTGGAACTTAAAATAGACTGGAATTTCTCATTATCAACAAATACTTGTGACCCTGGCTACACTTAAGCCACCTGCTAGTCATTTGCTCACACTCAGCACACACTGAACTTAGGTAGTGTCACTCCAGTGTGACCTGATGAGCAAAGATGAAGTGCACTCTGCAAAATGAATCATGAACTTCCAGTCTTTAGCATTGACAAGACCCTCCCTGCAACTATGACAGATAGCCTTTCAGTGAAAACATGGCTAATTGCAAATAATGACAGGAACTCCTTGAGAAAAACAAAGAGATTAACCGAAGATCTCTGTCTCAAGGGATTATAGTGTACATCTTAAACATTATAAAGCTTGTAAAAATGAAGTGAGACATCCTAGAAAGTGTTTGCCAGTAAGAAAAAAAAACTAAATGGTAGCTTTGTTTACAGAAATTATGCATCTGATGCTAATGCAGCAAGAAAGGAAATGGACTCTTTAAGCTGATCAAGTGACAATGTTATCACATCTCCCGAGGAAGACGATAAAAACGAGTAATTTTGCACCTGCACATTTAAATTGTGAAGAAAGCGTGTATGGATTCAGATGACTGCTAAGCTTTAGTTTTAACTTTACATTACACATAATTAAACACCACCAATATCTCAAGGTTTTCTTATAAATCTACCCTTCTTTTCATCCCCTGATAGTTTTATTAAAGTCACTATTTAACCCATGTTATTATGTGCGTGCCAGCACAGCCACACCCACCTCGCCATGTATACTTCTCAGGCTCCTAACATGACATGGTGAGCTGCATGCTTTTTTGCTAAAAAATCTTTTTGAAGCTTTTGCATTGTGCATGCACAACTTTTCTTTATGTCAGATGAGATCAGAATCACATTATGATAACAAGATTATAGTTTTCCATGTATAATTAAATAAGGGAGAAAGTCCATAACTCAGACATCATTAGGCTGGAATCCTTGAATGACCTGTGATATCGAACCTACTTTGAAATATATGGAAGACCTTAAATCCACCTAGAAACAATACAAATGACAAGCCATGTGGTCTCAACTTGAAAATATCTGTCTGGTTCTTGTGCATTAGCGAACTCCTATAGCTGGTATTGCATCTACATAGTTACTATGAATGGCTAAATGGATACAGATTCTTAGGAACTGAGGCCAGGAAGTGGTTATGTGGCGAAGACGGGAAGCACAAAGACAATGGTTCACACAATGACTGTTGTCAAAAGGGAACTGATGTTTTCACATTTCTAAGTGTTTTATTATTGAGCATTTTTAATAATAGTTTAGATTTTCCATAAGATTCACCAAGAAACAATGCTTGTAAATTAATTGGGTGACAAAATAGCCACTGACAATTTAGTTTCCATTATCTTTTTTATTTTGAGTTTGTGTGAGTTGTTGACCACTCATATGTTGCCCAACTCCAGTGTTCCTGTTACCAGACCGCTAAAAGCTACCTCATGACAAAGACTTAATGGAACAGGGGAATACAACAGTAACAAGATGACTCATTAAGGATGCAACAATTCACATTTCCATTGAAAGTAACAGCTTATAATATGAACTTACATGCGTAAGTGGAGAAGATGATACATTTTCCAATGATCTTTTATCAGTTTAATAAAGTATTACTCTAACCTTCAGTAAATTAAGCCCTACTTACAAAAAACAACAACTTAAAAATCTGTGAATTTCTTTTGCTAAAAAAGTGGGCATCAAAATCTTTACTTTTAAAAGCGGACAACTATAAACCATCAACAAGAACTATGTTGTGAACCATTAACTTCAACAGTTCAACAGTAAGTTTTAAAATGAGGAGATTTAGTGAAACTACAGACACTATTAATTATGTTTAAGGCTAAAAATAATACTTTGCCTTTCACGTTACAAAGTTTCTTTTCAATGTGTTCGGGGGGTGAAGACAGCAGAAGGAAATTTCATTTTAAGCATCAACTAACTAGGACTACACAAAGATTAATGAGTCCAACAGTTAGGGGTATACGACTGTGGAACTCTCATTATAATCTAAAGAACTGTACAAATTTACATTGTTTTAAAAAGTCTTACACGTCTAAAACGATAATTCAATATGAAGAATATGAACCAAATTGGAGTTAATTGAAGAAGGTTTTTTTTTTTTTCCCTCCCCTCTCTCACGCTTTCTCTCGCCTTATTTTATTCTATTTATTTATTTTTTCTCCTTATTATTATTTGAAGTGGTATATTGCTGATTGTAAATTTGATGTTTGGTGTGCATTAGGATCTGGAGATAAATGTTAGTGTGTTCCTTGGTTTATGGTGCCCACTTGTAATATTAGTTGGATTGCAGATAGGGGCAGGGTTTAATAAGAATATTTTCTTCTTCCTGCTCCTTTTCACGCATTGTTACAGTGTTATACCGAGAAAAAGCATGGTTTGCGTGTATGAAAGGACAAAACTGTTAAAACTGTTGAACCAAGTGTGAAATAAATAAATAAATGAAATGACATGAAATGAAAACGCACCTTCAAACTTTCTCCAGGTGGTTTTCATATACAAATAAAGCCAAGGATACAAAGCAGTCTAAACTTTAACTTCGTAAAATGGCTCGGCTTCTTTTAGAGTACTATTGACAGCATAAACGTAGGACCCAGATAAAGACAAAGTAGTACAACTCAGTTGGCTAAGGCTGTAGACATATCCACTGACTGAATGGAGCTAGATTCTAGAATTTAACCTCAGAGTGTGCTGGAACAGAACTACCACCATAAATGCAGTCAGAAATGCTGTCTTTAGTTTCCTCAGTGTGCCATCATCCTGCAAGTCATCACTTACATTAGGCAGTTCTGTGAGTGTCCTGGCTATTATACTGGCATCACTTTAGTTTTCCTCCCATTATCATTAATGTCTTTTTAAGCCCACTGATGTATTTGCCATATTCTGGAGCGACCACGGACTGTAACATTATGGATTAATTCTGTCTACTCAGTAAGCTGTTTTTAATGGATCTTGGGAAACAGCGGCAACAAAGCAATTTATAGCTGGTGCTAACTTGTGTGCAAATGCATATCTCTTCATATTAGTGATTAAGAAACCCTGGTATTGTGAAACGACTCCGTTTCATGTGACAAAAAGTTGAACAAGCAGCCATTCCGGAATCTCTGTTTGAGCAGTATGTCTCAACCTTTGCGGTTTAACGGGGCTAACATTGAAAGGTTCCGTTTTGAGGCTGATGTAAGGAAAAGGAGAAGAGGCTTGTGTGTTTGATTTTGACAGTCTTGTGCAGAATACAAAAAGTCAGACAAGTTGATCCTGGATGCGCAGAGAGATCTGAGCTGCTCTGCCACTGTATGACTGACTTTATGGCTCACTCCACCGTGAGTTGATCCCTGTTGTGGGTCCAATATATAAATAGAAAAAAAGGAATGAAATTCCAGACAAATGTTATAAAGGTACTGTTTTACCTGTTCGGCTCCTTATACTTTGCCACATGTGAACAATGTTAATTGTAATTTAGAACTCTTTTTCCTGGCAAAAGATGTTCAAGGTTTTTCTCCAGCTCAAAAAGCACAGTTTTGCATAAGGCCTTTGATTTCCCTTGGTTTGTTTTTGTTTTCAGTTCACTTGAATTTGCCCATTTCCGTTTAGCTTCAGTGTCTGGTTTCTTCATTAGTCAGTTTAATTATCACAATATTAAGAGTAGTTTCAGAATACATTTTACAATACAAGCCTTTCATGGAGGCAGTTAACGCACAATCACGCCAAGAATCACCCCAAAATCGTGCAAAGATATATTTATCAGGCTGTGTGACTGGCTGTCTAAATGGGGCCTTGCAGATTTCTGTGTTAACGATAATGTGGTTATAGTACAGATCTATTGGGATGCCACCATAATTAGCACCACCCCTGGGTATTGCCAGATCTCCAGTTTCAGGATGTGCTTAAATTAATGACCTTGAAACAAGAGGAAGACGGCTGAAAAGCCAAATGTATGAATTCAACTCAGAGCAAAAAAGCAGCATATGCAGCAAATGTACTTCTGTACTTGTGTGAACTCTCTCCACTGTAGTATACGAGGAAGAAACCCTTAAGTAACATCAAGCCTAAAGTAAATAACCCTCACTCCTTTCCATGTTCCTTGAGCCACTAATTTGCTTACTCCCCATGATGTCTGGAATATTAATGAAGAATTTGGGTGGTATGGATTAGATGAGGCGACACATTAATCTAGGGTCAAGGTCACAAGCCTTCAATTAAAAGGACACTTGAGTTTGTTCACTTCCTGCTCCGGAGTAGACATGAAAAGAAGTATTCTTTTAATTGGCCATTTATGCAAATAGCCACTGGAAGAAACTATAATAAACTCAAAACAACCTTCTGTTATATTTCACAACAGTGCAAAAAAACTGCAAACAATAGTCATGTGTGGCTATCTATAGTGCACATGGGATGAAGCCCAAACACCTAAAAGGAAACCGTAACAGTTCCTCACCCTCCACAGAGAAACAATGAAAGCTGTTACTTGCGGAGGACACATATACTAAAGGAGGTACCCTCACACTTTCTTAAGTAGTTAGCTATCTGTCTATTAAGCTTCGTAACCCGTGGATGGTCTCCAGCTCCACTGTATTGAACTCCTTAGTGTTACAGAAGCCTGCAGTCGATATTCTACCAAAATGGTGGAGTAGGACCTTTTTAAACTACTGGATGAAGGCCTGGGGGCTGCCAAAATATCAACCTGATCAGCCTACAAGTAGGAAAACATAAAGAAGATGAGGTGCTGTTTGAATGGGGAGAATGAGGACTTCCACACAGTACAACTGAATGCAATTTTCTCCACTGAAACAAATGAAATAATTAAAATAAATTTTAAGATACACTTCAGTGGCCTCCAAAATAAAGCCTGTGTGAGAAACACTGCTGTACAAAAATGTGTTAATAAATAGTAAATATTAGCAGAGCTTTTCTTCCCTCAGTGATGCAGGTCTGTACTGTGATGGTATTAAAGACCGACTTAGCAACACAAACAAAAAACAGTCTCACTCAGATACAAAGGTCATTCATATTAATGAATGTGTCTTTGCGGTTATTCATATTATGTTCTGCAGCAGGCAAAAACTAGGTTAGAAAAAGTACAAAAAATATATTTAAAAATGTTTGTTTTTCTGTTTATCTTTATGAACTTTTTTTTCGGGCTATATGATAACCCAACGGACGGGGCTGAGATAGATTTTGGTCGCCCGACCGGAGATATTGCTAGCTCCGGCACGTCGGGCTAGCGATTTTGCGAGCCCTGCGTTTGGTTCTTTAGCTGTCAGAATTGCTGTCTGAAAGGCCAACAAAGATACCCAACGGATTTACTTTACCAAGCGGATCATCACGGCCATTGGGCTATTTAAACTTTTTAACTTTAAGATGTCACACTGTGTCCATTTTTGGAATTATTGTGATTTAGTAAATAATTAATAAACAGTCACTTGCATAGAACGCCTTTTACTGTCACTATACACTTGTACAATGAGATACAGAGAATCTCCTACTCAGTGCAGCTAGCTACGATAGTATCTCATTCATGAATGATTAAACTAGGTTTATGCGAAACCATTAATCATCACAATTCACACAGCATTATCGTCACAGGCCAAAGTTGGAAAAGTCACTAAGGGACACTAAGGGGGTAAAATTTGCTGGTTGACTGGCCAGGTTGCTCCCTCAGGTGTGTGGTCAAAAACAGGGTGCTGTCTATTTGGAGCTTAAAGATGAATGACTGTATAATAAACTGAAATTGTCAGACTATGTTTTAAGAGATATATTTTCAGACAATGAAGCCAAGATAACAAACACTGATAGCATTGGAAAGTTTGGCTGTTTTTGTACACACCTGGGATTCTCTGTATTTTTCTTTGGCTGGCTTTTCACTTGTCACATTTATGTCTGTGAATGATTACATTTCATGTATACTTTAATGCTGATACAGAATTTAGATGAATTGTACAGCACACTGTCGTAGAAAAATGTACATTTTCTAAGAGAAAATATCAGCTCTACCAAAATGAATTGATTAGACACGTTTCTGCACCATGTTTCTGTTGACCTTTTGAGTCCCTTTTTATTTTTCTTACTGTATTCAAATCAGTATGGGCTACACCCCTGATCTATAGTACAGCAATTTCAAATAAATATCATAGACTGGACAGATGTAATTTTAACAACATGTTAAAACTAATACTGTTAATTTTGGCGCCTTTACATTTGTTTTATCCACTTTGTATTCGTAATTCCATAACAGACCAGTCAGAAACTTCACCATGACTGATAAGGAATGCTCATCCTAAGTGTGGTTTGGATGTTTCTGTCTAAACATAGCACTGGTACAGGGCTGACGCACACACATCTGTGCAGAAAAACCCTTGGAAAATGTTGCTCGTGTGATTCAGAAATTTGATCATGAAGTGCATACACAGCAAAAAAAGGCAGAGAACAGACAGAGAAGGAAGAACAGACAGTTATATTGGGAACTTGTTTGTCCAGGTTTAACATTAACACCAAGTTTAAAACTAACTTTGCTCTGTGCTACTTTTACAGATTGTCCAAAGCAGGGAGGTCAAGCTCATTTTAACTCAAGGGTACATACAGCCCTAGTTGATCATAAGTGGATCACTTGTTTAATCACTTAATGACAACCTACATGTTTGTGAAATTTCAACAGTTTATCTCCGTATTTTCACATTCATAGGCTTAAAGGCTCAAATTAGGTCCTATTTACTCCAGTTCCTAAATGAAATGCATTGCAGTACAAGTAAACACATTTTTGAATTTTTTATTCATTCCTATTTTGAAGTTAGAATAAGGGAAGAATGTGTTTACAGTGATATGCGACTTATTTTCAGGGCATCTTAGGATGGTCAGCAAGAAAGATTATTGAACTTTTTCTATGTTGATTATTATGCAGTGATTTTAGTGCTCAAACTTGGCTATATATGGCTAATAAAATAAATATTGACAAACATTTCCATCTTTAAGGTTTAAACAACATGCTGGAATCTGTAAAAACAATTTTTTTTAACTTCCCAGATATTTTCACCCCCAGAGATTGCTGGCACAGCTCACCAAGAATGAAAATGCATTTTGGATTTTAACTCTATTTAGTGGTCGAGACTTAACTGGGTAGTCCACCCCGGCCACATGTTTTGACACCCCTGCATTCGATGTGACACTTTTTGATTGAGAATAGCTACAAAAATGTCTTACTTTAGTTTCTGATTCAGTCCCTTCCAAGAGCCCGAAGTGCTTTCAGTCTCGCTCAAGTTATTGTTAATCATAAACACATCTTTATATTTGATAGGCAGCTTAAATATTTACTGCATTTAACCTCGAAACAGGTAAGTCCATTAATTCATTAAGGTTAGTCATTTAGCCCTAAAGCAGAATAATGCTGTATTTTTAAAGATAGTACTGCTTTACAAATGCCACGGCACTACGTCTTGTCATAGTCTGTTCTTCCTACTGCGTTTCTGGTTTCTTTCTTGAGTTTTCCTGAAAAGGAACAAGTACTTTTCATGTACAGTCCTGTTCCCCGAGTAACTCGGACTTTCCTGGAAACTTACTGGGTCGGTTAACTTACTATGAGGATCTAGTTCAGCTACTCGATATGACTGTTACTCCGGACAGGTGGGAAAAAATAAACTCGGTTGAACTCACTTGCTTGGCAGTCAGCCTAGAGACACTCCGACAGCGGCGAAATAGTGAAATAAATCCATCACGTGCCGTTTCCGGTGGCTAATCGTCGTCTGTTTACCGAGGACCTCCTGTGTTTTCCCTCCGCTAACAGCCGAGATCTGCTGCTTATCGCGACTGGTCTATTTTTTAACCGTCTCAATTGTGACTGCACTCGCGGTCGCGGCACCTCCCAGATCACGCCCTGTACAGTGACGTCACCTAGCGCGCGATTTATAAAGGCTATTCCATTATTAAAAGGATGAAAGTGTCAAGGCGTCATCATAAAGAGACCTTGACGAGTAGAAACCGGTTAGGCGACAGTAATTCTTCGAGCTTTAATTCCAGGGAACCAGACTTTCCTGTAATATTTTGAAGTGCCGGAGGTTTTCTGAAGGTCTCTGGCTGCTTTTTCAACCTTTTTGGTGCCCTGATCATTTAAAGAGGAATGTTTTTATTATTTGTTAACACTAACTTATGAATTATTCAAGCATAAAAAGGCAGCCAACTGGTATGAACCAGTGTTGTGATCTCTTTGTGTGTATTATCATCAGTTAAACATTTTAGTTAACTAAAATAAAAATAAAAACTAGACTTTTGGAATAATAATAATAATAATGACAATAATAATAATGATAATAATAATAATAATGTGTTTATTGTGACTTTTGATATTTACAGTACTGTGAGTCTTGCCTTTGGCATCCACACAATAATACCACATTTAACACTGAAATGAATAAAACCTAAAGAAAATTCACTTTGGAAACTAACCTCAGTTAATAATGCCATTACAGATGATATGGAGGCTCTTTCATGAATACAGGTGTGCCTTGGTTATATATTGTCATATGGTCCGCAATCGTTATATGCAAACTTTACAAAAACAGAAATACATACTGTATTTGACTTCCACATTAAAGCTTAAACTCTCATCAGTGGTGCCAGTGTCAAAGCCTTTGCTCCTCTGGAGAGTGTGGTAGTGGCGGAACAGCTTCATCTTGTGTGATGGGTGTGTGTCCTCCAAACAGCAGGGGGTCAGTAGCCATTCTGTCTCCTCTTAATGACTGGGACCAGGACAATGGAGCTCTGCTGTGCGGTGGACTAGGAGGGGTAACAGAGCCACAGCTGGTACTCCTATGAAAAGAATGGACATCCAGACTGTGGTCATAAATAATTAACCAGAGGACACACAGAAGTTTATACAGATGAAAGTACATCTGAATGCTAAACCTTATTGACGTTCATAAAATATATCATAAAGCCAACTTGCTTTCAGCACTTCCTCGAAAGCAGAGGCAATTAAGGGATTGTAAAAAAATAAGGTATTGACATATTATACACATTATAGTTATTGATGACCAAAGCCTGCTCTCATGTTGTTACAGATATGACCTATAAAGACCTCAAACTCTTGAAGTGAAATTGCAGTCTAGTTGCAGACAGCAATAAAGTTTGAGGCTATTCAAGGATTATATCATCCTTATGATGCTCATATTTGTGGATGCCACAGATGAGCACCTACTATTTCCTGTCTTCTTTGTTGATGCATACTTGGTGTACTTATAATGTACTGCCTGTGCAGACTTAAATCAAACTGGAGGGTACGTAGATGTCTGCATGGAGTTTAGCATTCACGCTCATGCTTAAATTGTTCTGAGGTGAATCTACGTTTGGTGTGACCAAAGAGGATGCAAAGGATAGGGTGAGATGGAGGCAGATGATCAGCTGTGGTGACCACTAAAGGGAGTAGCCAGAACAAGAAGTGGTCAGTGTGGCTGCCAGCATTTATACATGTGCAGTGTGTTTTGACAGCCATGCGTAATTGCATGGAGGATGTACTTGCATATTAGATTAACTGGCAGTTCTAAGGCTAAGTCCACACTAATGTGTTTTCGTTTGAAAACGCATTGTTTTCTCTCCATTTTGGCGTCCAGTCCACACTGGACGGCGTTTTCTCTGATAGAAAACGCAGAGTTTTGAAAACACTCTTGAAAACCTATGCATTTGAAAATGGTACTTTAAGGTCGCAGTGTGGATGGCAAAAATGGAGACTTTCTAAAACGATGACCCATGTTAGTGATATGATGCAGTCATGTGACCAATTAAACTAAGGCATTATACAGCAGTTGTTTTGTTTGCTCTCGATTTTAACAGCCCTAATAAAGATTAATGTCAGTCTGTAGAGTTGGATGTCTCGAGTCCGGTCTTGGTCTCGAGACCACTTTTACGTGGGCTTGGTCTTGTCTTGGTCTCGACGGACTTTGGTCTTGGTCTTGTCTTGGTCTGGGATCCCTTGGTCTTGTCTTGGTCTCGCTGTCTGGGTATTGCTGTCTCAGATCGACATAGTCGTCGGGAGATTTGGAGTCAACAGTATCCATGACGCACAACGTAACGTTCGATAATGTGTCATGCACAAAAGCATCAGCTCTAAGAGCCGTGCTTAGAGAGTGCTTTGTAGTGAATCAGAAGAATCGACTTCCATTGAACAAGAGCCAGCTCTTCACTTAATTTCCTTTTGCTGCTCAGCTCTCACACAGTGGCTCAGCTATGCTCCAATCCCTCCATATTGTGGCCAATCACATGCGAGGATATAGGATAATATTATTATGTGAAAAACAAAGAGAGTGAGAGACGCGACGGTCAAGTGGAGCCTGCGTCTCTCCTCTCAGTGAGTGAGACAGTAGACAGCGGTGAGGAGGGCTGTGCGAGTGCATCGCAAAAACACATAAATATGCCTGACACCCGTAAACAAAGCAGCATCTGGCTGCAGTTTAAATACTTTTTTGTCTCGGTCTTGGTCTTGGTCTCGTTTCGTCTTGACTTTGCCTTGGTCTTGACTCGGTCTGTCTTGGTCTTGGTCTCGATACCCTCTGGTCTTGGTATTGTCTTGGTCTTGGCTTAGGCGGTCTTGACGACAAGTCTATCAGTCTGTACATGCTCCAGATAGCTTTTCTTCAAATTCTTTAACGATCACTCGCTTTTCCAACTTTGTACTTTTGTGTTACTCGCAGCAATAACTCCACCTCATTGTTGGTCCATTTAAAAAAACTTTCCAAGAGCCGGAAAGTAATAAGCGGCAGACAGAAATGAGGCAGGTCGAATCTTCTTGCGTTTCACACATGCGCAGTACTGGAACATAAGCGCTTTCGTCCGTTTCAATGTGGACGTGCAACTCTGTGGAAACCACTGGAAACGATAGGGTGGATGTGTGACCTCTGAGTCATTCAAATAATTAAAAAAAAGCTTAAAATGGCACCTAAGGGATGAACCAGCATTGTGTCTATTAATGACAACTTGGCAAATAAGCAGTTTTAAATTGTGTCTTGAGGTACTTTTTAAGTTGAATCTACAAAGAAAGAAAGAAGATAACATGCTCTGACAAGCATAAAACTGTAGTTTTGTTCCAACAAGATGATTCTCAGAGAGAAAGTAGGTAGAAATCTTGCATATATTGACATGACAGTAAAACTCCAGGAAATAGGGGGCAAAAAATCCAGCAAAACCTGGCTCAGGACCTGCAAGATGCATCTTGCCCTTTATCTGACCCATCTACTGTTCGCCGAAGCCATTCTTAAGGAAGGAAACAGGAGAGAGGCAAAGCAACGAGTGTCTACAGCCATCTGTGAAGCATGGTACAGCCTCTGTCATGGTTTGGTGCTGAATTTCAGCGAGTGGTGTTAGAGATCTTGTCAAAAGTGGCAGAATTCTGTATGCAGAAAAGTATTATCAGCTCTTATTCCACCACGCAAACAAATCTATAAAGTGTTTGATTGTAAGCATCCTTATTTTCAAACCTGACAATGATCCCAAACACACTACCAAATGCAGTAAATCCATACCTGCAACGAAAAACACACAATGGAACACTATCTGCCATAGATTGGCCTCCCCAGAACCCTCAACATTACTGACGAAGTGAAGGAATTATCTTAACAGAGAACAGAACAAAAGGCCATACCAAATATTGTATTTCATGATTTTTTTAAATTGTCCAAACAAATTGTCCAAACTCTGTTTTTGCCTTAAATATTGTAATTCTATGTTTGCAGAGTAGAATTCCAAACCACAGCACTATCTTTGCATCTATTTTCCTAGCAAAATATAAAGAAACTAGTGATGGCTCAAAAGTTTTGCACAGTACTGCAAGAGATAGCAGTGCTGAGATGAACAGGGTAAATAAATAAATTGAAACACACACACACACACACACACGCGCGCTTTTCTACTGTCCTTCCTGTTGTCATCTTTATATAATCATAGCCCAGGCTCTAAAATTTCTGAAACCTCAGAACACTTCAACATGCCCTGACATATCTTCACCTAAAGTCACACCCCTCAGGGGCAACGTTCATTTTACCTCTGACTTATATCGCAGGTTAAGAATAGTGGTAATGCCTTGGAAAGCAAGAAAACTCACTATGAAACTATACACATAAATCTATAGATTACAGTTTCTGTACAGATTTATAACTGAGATTATCAGGCAAGGAATCTATTAATGTCCAAGGTATGGGTACAATAAATTAAAATTATTAGTGTTAGTTATTATAGTGTTAAGAGTTCCTGCTCACCAAGACACAGTGCATGCTATGTAATGCTTCAGGAGATTTTAAATTACATTTTTTTTCACCGTGGCAGATCTGTTTAATCTTTTTTAATACTTGGCAGTTTTTTCTGAATAAAAGTGGGGCGAAGACTTCCGCAGTGAGCGTGATCAACAGGAAGTGGAGACACACAGCAGTGTAATATATAAAGTAATGAAGGGTTGACAGACTTTTGCACAGTAGCATATATCAGCTGTCCTGGAATAGGTTATGGAGTTAGTTAGTATAGAAAAAAGTGGATGGATTATGGTGCATTGGGTGAACTGTCAGTACCACAAACACAAACTATTTTCTTTCAGTCAGTCCCACGTGTGCGATGAAAATGGTTCCAAACCAAATTAAAATAGAAAGGTTTTAATAGATTGAAGATACATTTAAAACATCACAATCTATAGAAAAAGATGAATGTATTTGGACCTTTTGTTCTGCTGTATGATGGCACAAAGAATCAGTATTACATCTCTGCTAATATTTTAAGATCTCAATACTCATGCAAGAGGAAGTGTTTCTATTTTTCCCGATAGATTGCAATTAATTGGCACAGATATGGTTCACACCCAGCTGTGAGT